ACTGCTGGAAGATGGCAGGAGGGAGGGGCTACTATATTTGGGCAAAAATGGCCGCTCCCAGACTCAGTGATCGCAACGAAAATGAATGTTTTTTTTACTGATTAACGCTTAATTCATTAAATCACTGCAAACATATTAGTTTTAGGTATAAATAATGATCCATTGATTTCCTATAAAGACCTTCCATCATGGCAGCAAACCGAGACATTAACTGCCATAATGTGCTGCTAAGGCAAGCAGAGTTTCCAGCTTAAACTGGTTTCAAAAAGCAAAGCTTAATTGGTATAATTATCCAGACATCAGAAGGAAAGGAAGATAATTGTTGTCTGACAGAAGCAGTTTGTAGATTTAACAAACCGGCACCCTGAGGTTGTATTAAAAGCTCTTTCTGTAATCTATTGCTGTGGAGGAAGACGTCTTGTATATAATTCAGATAAACCAGAAGGGCCACTGCTAGTTTAGTTCCTGAGAAGCCAGTATCCTGCCTGTTTCAAATGTTTGCCTGGTCCAACAAACCAAATGAAAGGTTTGGATGCCTGCAATACTTTTTATTCTCCGATTCACCAAAATCTCCTTCTCTGTGTCGCAGCACTTTGCTGCTCCTCCCTTTCGTCATCATGTTGCACCGACGCCTCAGCAGCGCCATCCAATCAGCACTCACTCAGCCTGGCCCGCCCAATCAGCTCTTTCTCCATTTGACACACAGAAAAACGCACTGCTGTTCGTCAGACTCTGAGAGAAGGAGAAAGAGGGAAAGAAGCGCTGTTTGGTTATTTTTTAATACCGTAAATGAAACAACGACAAGCTGTATGGTTTGTAAAAAGCAGGTTAAATGCAGTGGAAACACAACAGGTTTATATAAGCACATGAAAAACCGTGAGATAGAAAACGTCGAGCTACAGAAACGGAGAGAGGAGAAGAAACTTTACTTATTTCCCCGACAGACCCTCAACCCTCAGACAGGCGTCACTGGCAGAGGCGTTTCAGACCTCCAGAGAATATCAATCAATCAATCAATTTCTTCATTGTCAACTACAATTTGCACTGTAATTGAGATTACATTTTCACTACAAACCCTTGCATGGCGCAGCACGCTG